GTGGGCGACGCCACGCCCATTTCCAATTTTTAAAGAAAGCCTGGGTGCAGCTTCTTCTGATATTTCTTCCGTAAAATGTAGTGTTTCTGACGTTTTTTGTTAGTCGGTTAACGCACTTTTAGTGATTTTCAACATAACCTTTGTATGGGAGGTGGGCGTGGTTATTATCCGATTTCTTCCATTTTTGAACTGTATTTGGAAATGCCTGAATGAAACAACTCTGTTTAAATGCAAATTTATTTAATAAAAATTAAAATATACTCACAACTTCCAATCTGCGTGCTCTTTCGCATTCTTTATTCTTCGAAATATTGGCCGTTACAAATGGAGACAAAAAGATGAAAAATTTCTCAATTCGAATAATAATTTGGCGGGATTTCAATCTGGCCATCCCTCGTTTCCAGTTGATAAACGTCAAAACTACTGAACTCGATTAGCTGTCAAAGTTCAGTATATTTTGACGTTTAGCAATTGTTCTCTCACCTCCAGTGAGAGAGGAGTTACACATCTCTGTTTTGCATTCTACGGACGGCAACTGAGAAAGGGTGGAGCGTTTTTCGCTGTTTCTCCTATTACTCGTGTATGGGATTTTGCGCGTACCGATCTATGTTGGCGATATCTCGAATAGGAAAGATAGCGGACAAACGGTTTTCTGTTTGCTGGTCGCACATATTTCCTGTTGGAAGATCAAAAGCAAAATAGATTTATACTATGTAGTGTATGACGAAACRATTTATGGCTACTTTTAAAGTAACAAATGCATATGTTATGAGCAAGAATGATAGAAACAAAGATTGCGCAATGATGAGTTCAAATTATGTTCGTTCTGCGCATCTACGTCACGGTTGATCAACGTACGATCAGCTGATTTTCCGTTGTTTGTGTTTCTTTGCAATAAGAAGCAATTTTGTATTGCAGGCATTCAAAAACATGAATATCATCAAAAGTTAACATCAATATAAGAGAATATTTTCTAGTGAACATTTACATACATATTTATTTAATTGTATTTTCAATTGTATTATTTAATTTTGTCTCTTTGCTGTGTTTGTTTCAACCATATAAATTTATGCAAATAAAAAGATTGAATATTTTGTGACCAAGTATCAATTTCTTGTCTTATTTAATTTTCTTTTTTTGTTATATATATGTTCAGTTAAGTTTTTATTTAAGGAACGAATTCTAAAATACATTCTAGTTCGGAAAAACAATTATTTTACTTTTGAGCTACAATTTACTAAATTACTTAAATGTGCTTCTATACATAATTTGTACATATATGCAAATCAGTACCATTTATGTCGTCTAATACTGCTCGCAAGGCTCTCATATTATATGCTGCATCAACATATCTGTTGGTTTTGAGAGTTCTCCTTCAGAAAGGTGATTCACCCAGGTATAAGACGAACAATTTTCTGAATTGGCACAAATTTCGGGGTTTTCTTTACCAAGTTTGTGGCAGATGTACCCTGCAAAATWCTCAGGTCCTTCGTTGTTGAGAATCTCCAAGTCATAATTTTTTTCAATTGGTCAGTGGAATTTAAATCAACTTACCCACGTTGAAAAATATTACCTGCAAAAATATAATAAACATACATACATGCGTATAAATAAATGGAATAACTTGTTAGGTAAGATTATTATTATGATTAGAATAAGAAACAGTGGTTAGTATCTTAGCTTAGTAACTTAGTTTATATGTAAGTACATATTTGCATTTGTTAGCATCAATACATTTTTATATAAGTATGTTTTCTRTAGTTTTAGGTTTATAATACTATGTACGTTTAATATTTTGATAATTACCGACTAGTGATAAGTAATTCCCTTCCAAATCTGGTGTGTTGTCGACTTCAACATTTCCTTCTTCTGTGATCGCTCCTTCATTTTGACCAATTATATAGAAACGCAGCCTATATTTGAACTCCTGCCGGTMAGGCTGATCATGAAGACTGCCTTTTCATCTGATTAAGCCAAAAAAAATTTCCAAAACGTCCTGGTTTAATCGGTAAGTCAAAACGTAATCAATTTTGTACTGCTGTCTTAAGTCATCCAGCAGGAATTTCAAATCATTATTGCTTTGGRGTATACCTGTAAATCATAAGTAAAATAAAAAAAATCAACTTATCTAAATATATAGCTTGATTATTACATTTTTATAATGAAAGCAAACCATTTTTACCAATGACTCTTATCTCCGTCGTCTGCTCCAGTACATTATTTTTCTTTCTCATGCAAGCGTTCCCTCATTCCATCTTTATCATCTGATACTCATTAGATCAAACCAGTCATTTTTCTATAAAATCAAAATTTATTATACATGAACATTTAAATTAATACTTTAAATATTACTTACAAGTTCGAAAAGTCGATGGCATTCCTCCCAATTTTCGTTATCTAGTACACCTAATCTAGCCGCTCGAGTTATTGCTTGAGCAATTGTGTGGGAGAACAATTTTRTGGCTAGTTTAACCTTTTACCTTTCCGCTCCTGTTACAGACAAATGCTTCTGGGAAATTTTGTGCGTACTGGAAAGCTCGTTGGACGTAAGCGAGAGCAGCTTCAGAATAATGTCTTTTATAACAATTTTTCCATTGATAGTAAAGTCCAAATCCAAAAAATGATTTCTCTGCAGCTTTATTAAGTGGGGGACATCAGCATAAACCACAATCCTGTCTCCGTTGCGTGAAAACCTGCAATAAAAAAGAACACATTAAAGTATATCACAATGTAAATWATTGCTTAGTGAATGTACAAAGGTTTCTCCACATTAATTTCAAGATCATTATATATTCTCTATTTGATCCACCCAAATCGCTTAGAATGGCAACGATATTGTAACCGCACATTTTAACGCTTAACTCAATGCTAAACAATACTTTCCTTCGTCATTTTGCAGTCATATTCCAAGAATACTGGCTGTTTCCATTTACTTATCAAACCTAAACGAACAAAGTACATTATAAAAATTTTACTTCAAGTAAATTAATGAGATTAAATAAAAGTTTGTAAGCTTTCGGGCTCGTTGGATATAATGTGATCGACTTAGCTATGTTTTCTTCTTTCCAATTCCGCCGTTTGTTTTTATCCCTTAATTTATCAATCTATGTATGTGTAATGAACTTTAGTATATTTTGCAACATACTTTTTAGAATTTGGGCACTTACCTGGCCCTTGGTGAAAATGTAGCTAAGTTTTTGCTCCAAATTATTTCTGTGCAATTCCGCGGTTTTATTGGAAATCCTAAGGCATTTAATTTCTGCCAACTGCCCGTTTTTAAACTTTTTCAAAGTGCTAATAACACTATTCAGCCTTTGTCTAAAAAGAATTAGAAATACACATACTTATGTAAGAAAAAGATACTTCATCAATATCAATTAGGGTTAACATTTCAGTTTCCAAATGCAATATTTTCTCGTCTCTCTCATCGATGACCTACTCTCCTGTAGTTTGAGGTGCCTCTCCAACTTCGCCCTCTTCAATTACTTCAACAGGGGCGGTATTCTTCAGCATTGTTGTTAAAACCTCTTTTTTGGAACGAGACTCCATCTTTTTCTGCCGTTCATTAGCCTCTGGAGGAGCAGTGATTAACGTGAGAAAAACGCAAGGCAGCAACTTAGTTAGATTCCGCGAACTTAAACCTGCCAAAGTGTTTGGTTTTAAAAGTAAAATTATTGTAATGCTATGATTACCCATTTTAAACTGCAAGTTTCTTTCGAAAGCTTCTGGCCCGAAGTGCACTTAACAAGTGCATGAATTTTTAACACTAATTTTGTCCGTACGACGAAAAAAACGAATCCATTGTTTTAGCAGAGAACGTATATTTATAGAGAAGGTTCACGATATCAAAAATTTAGGGATATTTCAATTTTGGGATATTTACTGTTTTGGATGAGTGCATTTCACCACAGAAAATTATTAGCGGGTTTCACCACTTAACATCAGGGGACACGAAAATAGCAGAATTGAGCATTTTCAGTGTGAAATGAGAAAACTTATGCTATTTCCGGTCTTAAGGAATGTACGCTTAAAGATTCGCATATTTACAATGCGCAAACGACTCTGCATATAATTTATATACATACATACATACATATGTAATATTTTATATCAAAACACAAAGCATGTACATACGTATGTACGTACAAATTAAACTCTTTCATGATGAATTCCTTAAATCTTTGGAAATCATATTTGTATTATACCTAATTATTTAATTAATGTAGGTTTGATAAGATATGCATATACGTATGTACATATTTATATACCTACATATTTATTCGCAGGCCTTTAAGTTT